CTTGTTTTTGTTCGGATTTCCATTTGCCTCAAGGCTATTTTATTCATTTATTTGTTTTGATTTTGTCATTTTGGTGATCCTGGTCACCCTTGCGAATGAGACTCTAACCCTGGTGTCTTGAGTTCCCACCCTGGTGAAACAAAATAAACTCGGAGACTTTAGAGAGAGTCACTCTCGGTTAATCTCACAAATAAAATAACCTGCACAGCTGCCCTGTACTGAATGACATCTAAAACCGAATGCTGATGGGTGTTTACATCATCATTGGTGACTGGATGAAGTCCATCAAATTGGAGTCCAGGATTTTAACCCCGAATGTCAGCAATTCTAACTCGGTGGCACTGATATGGGCATAGCATTCATCATGACACGTGGCAGATTCGTAGTTGGCTGGGTGCTTTACGGGGGGGGGGGGGGGGGGTTCATGATTGCCATGATTGAGCATTAAACCAGCAAAGTTAAGAGATTGTGTTTGGATCCAGCTAATCACCCGGAAATTAGATGTTCACGTGTGGTGAGCTGATATTATATTCTCAGCCTATCCACCAATTACATCATGTTTTTTTTTTAATGCAGCCTCTTGAGTGATACATCAAACAAACGTTGGCAGAATGCAGAAATATGAGTAAGAGAATAAAAGTAAGATATTGATCTGCAGTCCCCCACTATGATATAAGGAACCTGAAAGGAGGCTGGAGAGCCAAGCAAAGAGAGGGTAGAAGGGGGGTGAGAGATGACAGCCAAGAGGAGTACGAGGGAAGAAGAGAAGTGTGGAATGTAAGCTTAATGGAGAGAGGAGTCACATCATACATAACTACTTTCATTTCATTGAGACCATTCCCGCACTGATGATTAACATTTACCTAATACTGACGTGGGGTAATGCCAGATTTTACACATCGTTAGGAAGCACCATCTACTTTTGAGTACAACAGGTCAATGTGACGTGGCCTCATCTTTCAGCGCCATCCCCTGATGAGTCACGATGCCCTGCTGACCAAAGGAGTTCGTGGGACAATTGAGTGGCGAGATGTCAACTACCTCGCCTGGTATACAGGAAGTCATGGGTTTGACCCCGACCCTGACGCCTTGTTCGTGTTCGCGTGGATTTTTCTGCGGGTCCTCCGATTTCCCTCTCCACATTTAGAAACAGCACTTAGAGTATACGATGCCCTGCTGACCAAAGGAGTTCGTGGGACAATTGAGTGGCGAGATGTCAACTACCTCGCCTGGTATACAGGAAGTCATGGGTTTGACCCCGACCCTGACGCCTTGTTCGTGTTCGCGTGGATTTTTCTGCGGGTCCTCCGATTTCCCTCTCCACATTTAGAAACACGCACTTAGAGTATTTGGCTGCTATAAACTTCCACGTGATAAGCTACTTCCTTGGGCTATCATTTGTGGGCGCGTCGCTTCTCAAAACAGAGCTGTATAGCTCAGTGAGCCTTACCTGGTCAATATTTTTGTTAATTATAAATAATTTAATCGAGTCTGCAGGTCATGACGGTGATGCCACCACAGCTCGCCATCGCTTCCTGCCCTCTGCCAGATCATGAAACTCGCGAGTATAATGTAGTTGACACCCGACCTCCATGATATGCTCTTATCAATACCTCACCAATCGGGGTACGTGTGTATGTCTTCACGACCGCAGAAAGGCCGTGTCAAATCCGGCTCTCGGTACCAAAGCTCCTTTGTGCCACTGCAAGGGCCCTTTGCTGCGTTGCGTCAGGAGCCGTGCGCGACCGCTGAAGCGAGTGACGTCACCCGGGGATCAATGTTAACAGATGGGATGTACGCATGCAGAGAAGGGCGTTGTTTAGATTGATTGCTCGTCACTATCCTGATAGCGGATGTTAAACTTCGACATTGCAGAGTGCTCGTTTTGAGATTCTGAACGCAAAGACAGCGATCGGTCAATTTGCCCGGCTGAACGCCAGCCATTGTAAAAAAAAATACGATTGTGAAATAATGATTAAATTTTTTTAATCATCCCTAAATTCAATCCACTGCTGGACGAAGGCCCTCTTTCAACAGTGTCGATCATAAGAGTCGGTTTGAGACATACTTCACCACTCCGGTCAGTCTGGGACAGTGAAGCGATGAGGGGGGTCCAAGGATCGGTTTAGATTTTCATTGTGCATCACTCGCACTGAGCGTGCTCGGGAATTGAACTCAGGTCCACGGGTTCACGGCACAGCGATGTAAACAATCGCGCCCCACCGTCCACGCAGCACGCGATAAACACTGCGCCGCGATTTCTGTCAAATAGAGGGGTCGAGGTGCTGTCAAGTTACTGCCCGTTAACGTTCTTGTCAGCAATTTGATTCAGCATCCTTTGTTTAGCCAGAGGAACGCCCATTGAGATATTGTATATATCTATATAGTATGTGAAGGTGTTGCTTTTTTTGGTATTATGCAAGAATGGCTACTATTGATGTTTAACTACACCTGCTGGATTAACATTTTTCCGCCTTAGACGACCGCTTGTGTTGTGATCGAAACGTCGTGATTTATTTTATTTTCTACCTACGTGACTTTACCGAAGAAACCAAAGGGTATGGATCCCTGCAGTCACGAAAGCTTCAAATCAAGATTACACCCTAGAGTATTTCATATTGGGATTTGATATTGTCACACGATGGCCTACTGTGGTATATTATGATTGAGAGAGCGTTAACCGTAGACTTCACAACAGAGGACACTACAATAAGAAAATCATTACCTTACGTACATGATCCACATTCTACATAATTCTACACATAACCGGTTTTATACGGTTGATATACGCAAAACTGAGGTACAATGTAATAGGAATCCACACTTTCAGACCTTATCAATGCTCACCCTGATTGTACAATACATTCCCTTTATAACCAGTCCATAATTAAACGCATATTCTCCCAACTAAAACATTCACCCTTTTTCTAATAAAAGACTTCACAATTAATTTATAATATTAATGCCAAACCTTTCCCTAACACCCAATACATTTCTAGGTTACAACTCTAACCCTGATCCTATATATATAGGACTATTTACATGACTTCCAACACTGCCAAACTGTATTCGTAACCCAAAGCCCAATGCCCAACACCTACTCTGATTTCTGACTCAAATGCTCACCAAACCTCATGGGGGCACCCTTCACACTCATCAGCATCAAACGCCACCAACCTCGAACCGTAGCACTAATCCCTGATTCTGACAACTGGCACCTATCCGTAAGTTGGATTTTAACCCCACATAAATAAGTCCAAATTAAACGTCATCATGATATTTCATTTCATTATTTGACCTCCTCCTCCTCCCCATGTTTGTTTCAGTGGACTAAGCTAATTCCCTGCAGAAATTCGAGGGCCGTTCGAGGAATCTAACCATCGACCCTTGAGCTCAGCGGCGAGTGAACAGTGACCACCAACTAAATATCAGCCCCAGCCACCTGCACCGCGGGCGCCGTAATCCAGCGGCATAAATAGCGACGACGATAATAAAAACGGGCGAGCCACCACCGTAGCACTGCAGAGAGGCAGGGGAGGAGCAGAGAGACAGCAGCAGTGGCAGCAGTGGGCGTGGAGGGGGTAGAGATTTCACGTTCTGAGCGTGCACGTCGAGTCCGCTGCTGAACGAGGAGCGCAACGCGCTGTGGGCAGTGCGTAGGGAGGCACAGACGCCTAGAGGGGCGGTAGCTCGCACCGGCATTCGAGCGCCCTTCCAATGGACATTGATGGTGGTGGTGGTGTGTGGAACACAGTGAGGATGACTTCAAGTATGGTAACATCTAAAAACACGAATGAGTACATTCCATGCGCGAGGCAGTTTGCGATTCACGTGCGTGACAATGATGAATAATAATCAATTATGAACAATTCAAATAGTATCATGGGACCTCCTTTGCCAGTATCAAAATATGATAAGAGGTTTTTCCCCTTCTTTCTGGCAACAAAACAGGTGTTAAGATGTTAAAACACCAAACTGAAACCTTTAACAAGGAATCATGTCTGCATTCTGACCACAATGCTTGTGGTCAGAATGCAAACAAAAAAGGGGAAAACCTATTATCAATTCAATTAGTAATTACTCTCAACCGTTTGTCAGTCCACTGTTGGACAGGGCCTTCCCACCCGGGTGATGTTCGCGGATGTTGTATGGCCATACTTCTCCGCACTGGTCGTTATTCACTGGTGAAACGCGATGGAACCCGGTGGGCCGGGCCAGGTTCAGAAAACACATGCCACTGATGTTAGCCATGGTCAGCAATTAAACTCTCAGGTTGATGAGTTGTCCAAGCAAGAGTGCGTTAACAGTTGAATCGCTACCACTCTACACGCAATGATGCCATATTTTGCACTATATAAACAAAAATATGCGCTATATGTATATATTTGATACTGTACATTACATATATTACACTGTAAATTATATATATCAAAATTAGAACTAGATCATTTTTACACGTCGAGGAATTAGTACCGAATGTGTCATATACTCTTAATTAAATACCTATATGTGAACAATTGTATATATGATTGTTTTCTATACACATATAGGAAACCATATACTGCACAAGATATATGATCACCATCACATTTGCAAACATTGTTCCAAAGAATAACACTGTGATAGCATTCACCACCAACCCTAACAATAGCCTGGATTGAATAACCTTCATCCCCTGCATTGCCGTTGCCGCTATGCGCAGGGATGACCTTTCATGTTCCTACAACCAAACAGCGCAACATTATATATTCAATCTCAATTAAATAAATCCATAACAAAATGCACTGTTAAATGAACAAAAAAAATGTATGCATTCGTATGCATACCGTTTTGCAACACGACAATTATAAGGGAATTGGCACGCACCACGATCACGTATGACTGTCAATATCTTGAGCTCTGGCACCGACTGTCCGGAGAATGAATGCACGAACACAGGGACATATGAATGAAATAACGAATGGCCGTGGAGGAATGACTACGGGTCCAAGGCGTCTCACCTTGGGGGAAGATGTTGGTCCTGCGAGTGGGAGCGGACGTTGCTGTATGCGGGATCGGATCCTTTCTCACTCAGCCTCACCCCTTTATAGTGGCACGCCTGCGCGTGTTGTATGTCTGCTCTGCTCGTGGGGATGGATGGGGAGGTGCGGATGGGGCTGTGTGTGCGTGCATTGGGGTGGGGCAGGAGCTGTGTGCCTGTGCATAGAGATGAGGAGGTGATGCTGGCTGTGTGCGTTGTGTGCGTTACATCTGAACCGGTTCTGGGCCCTCCCCTCGGTCGACTCAGCCTTAAATTAGTGTATCGTGCTGATGTCCTTCCCCCGCAACCTCCGATTAGCATGGTTTGGCTACGTACGATGCGAAAGGAGTTCAATATACATACATGGTGTTAGTCACCCGTGTGCCGTTCTGGAACTTAATATGTGCTCGCTAACAGTGCTTGCTCCAACAGTCTGTCAAAGGCTATATGGGGATATTTTGTTTTGTTAGAAATCCGATGCCTGAGCTCGATCCCCTAGCCAATGGCGATCATCAGTGATATCTGATCTGGTCCTGGACCTCCCGTAATTTTACTCACCCTTAAATAAATACCCGGTGCTTTATGTAAACACCAGCACCGAGTAGACAAAAGATGGATGCGTGTGCAGCTGTTCACACCACCTCCTCATGCACCGTCCTGGCCTTAATAGGTGCTCTCTAACAACAAAAAATACCCCAAAAGGGAGCACAAGTTTACACGGGGGATATTTTTTCCATGCAAGTGTATGCATGACCTGACCTGGTTCTCCTCTGGATGACTCAGCCTTAAATTAATATCTGATCTTGTGAGTGCACAACAGTAATGGGGAAACAAAGGTGGCCGGGTGTGGTGCTGCCTAACTGCACTTTCCCCTACAGTCTATGAGACTGAAATGGGGAATATTTGAAAATGTTTAATGCATGTGAATAGTTGAGGCTGGTCTCTCTGTGTCTACTACATTGAATTAACTGGGGTGAAGAGGCAAGGCTAGCTTGGCACACTGTCAGGGCAAGTGCTAATAGGTGCTTGCTTACAGCACTCGCACTGATCATCTGCATAGTGCTGGATGTGGGGCCTTTGTGTGTGTGGACAGGGAGAAAGATTAAGGGAAGAGCTGTGTGTGGTTGTAAGTGGGTGTGTCTGTATGTATGTCTGTACGTGTGCAGTGGGATCTCTATCCCTTGTGCCTGGGTATGACCAGGATTAAATTGAGCATTATACAAATATGGAGAAATATTTTCGCATGCAATGTGTGAATACACATTGCACACTGTGTATGGCTATATGTAAGAAGACATTCAACAGACATTTTACATTTTGACTGACAGGCATCCAAGGTCAACACTCTTTTTACCGTGACTTAAAGCTTTCGTGACTGCAGGAATTCATAATCTTTGGGTCTTTCGGTAAAGTCACATAGATAGAAAAAAATGAAAATAAAGTGAATACAAAATAATTAAAATATCACGTAGTTTCGATCGCAACACAAGCAATCGTCATCAGGAGAAAAAAGAGGGGGAAAGCTGCTGATGCAGTTTGTTTTAAAGGTTTGAAATGGGTGTAGCCCAAGGGTCATAAACAAAGTGGGCGGGGCTAGTGATGTTAAAGTGAGAAATTTGCATGTCAATGTAAGGTCGGAGAGCGACCTCCACGACGAGGGCGCGGAGGTGGCCATTGTATTGTGAGATATTAGCATGTCAATGTAAGATCGCAGAGCCGCCGCCACATCGAGGACACGACCAACGGCGGCTGTGTTAGTGGGTGGCTTCATGAACGAATCTTTGTTGACAGCCAGTGGGTTTGCAGAATACCTTCGTCTTGGAGAAATACATATCGTGTGAGCCCACCGCATTAAAACAATGATCAGCTGAGTTTGTAGATGCCGGGGTATTGCATGTCAGGGATCACATCCTTCACAGATGGTATCAGATCACGAATTTGATGTACTGTGTTAATTCAAACCTGGATCTTGTGTTTGTTCATGATTTTGGAAATATTTTTGGTGACCCCTGCTATGTATGGCAAGGTGATGGTTTTGATTGGGTCCTCAGATGGTTCTTTCCCAAAGGTTGGTGTGATAGCTTTACGGATTGTGTAGACTGAATATCTATTCATCTTGAGGACTTGGTGTACGTGTTCCAGTTCACTGGCTAGGTGATGATGGTCGGAAATACATCGAGGCTCTGTGGTGTAGAGTTTTTATGAGGTAATTCTTCTGGGATGGTGGTGGGAGTCAGGTTTTATTATTTTTTCTATCTACGTGACTTGACTGAAAGACCCAAAGAATATTTACCATGAACATCTGTGTGCAACACGATACACTTGGAGAAATTCATCCTCATCAGCAAGCCATAGGCGGTTCAACAACTTGCAAACTGCAATCTGGCTCGACAAAAAAAGCAAAATTGTACCAACGTTAATTGTATATTTGGTGACATGCACTTTTTAACAGTTTATTGCTGTAGAGAAAATAAATAGCTTGTGCCATTAATGTTTCAAACTCTTGATGTACAGGATTTGCCTTCGTACTTATATATACAGTATTTAAAATTCACAAACTAAATTACTTCCTAAACTATGTGGCTGTCTGCCATGGTCATAAAACAGAAGAAAATTTCAGGAATAATAACTTAAAACTTTACACTATTTTATGATCCAATGCTGTGTAAGTCTGGCCAGCAGGCAGTTACGTCCGATGCGTAATAAGTAGACGATTGCTTTTTTTGCAAGCACAACGTTATTATCATTAAGTCAAGAGATACAAGGTAAAACATATTTGAGACATTAACTAACAGTTTATTTTGGCAATGCAGCTTAGCAAGAAAATGCAGTTTTAAGATTTAATCATTAAAGCCTTCTGACCGCTGTATTCTAATATATGGTGCATCGCAACAAATCTACCTTATATAACCATATAAATGTCGACTTAATCATGCAAAACCCACGGTGTGTATATGTATTTGTGCTAGCATAGCCAATTTAGTTCCTCCCTGCCTAATTCACCAAAGGGCAGCGCTCATCCATAATTGCTTGCCATGAGCCACTAATTGAAATTCCACATTGTAATGGCGGTGGCCGGTTTATCCGGAAGACACAAATTGTTATTGCAGCTTGCAATTACATTTGCGAGCTATTTTAAAATGCCACTGGCACGTATGCGCATGCAACCATCTTGTTACCGTCCTCCGATTAGCACGCTTGGCTACGTACGGTGCGAAAGAAGTTCAACAAAACATCGCGTTTTAGCGAGTATAACAAAAATAACGAGACGATATGTCTTCTTCACAAATAATCCGTCTGTCCACTGGGAAAAAAAATAACATTTCTTACACAACCCATCAGCTGCATGGCCTTTTGAGGGAGTGCATAATTTCAGCAGCGCCGATTCAAGATAAGCAAAACTCTGGACTGGTTTCGACACGCAGTGCCGCATCAGCAGTCAGGCTTGCAAGAATCAATGCTGGTGAACTATTTATCTTACAGGCAAAGGAACCGCTCTGTTCTCCCCGCTGCTGTTGTTCCCACACACTGTATTCATTTACGGCTTGGCTTTCCGAAAAGGTGGTCCATGCCATTTTTCAGACACCCAATTGCCAACGGTGCCGTTGCGTGGCCTGGTAATGAAACCCGGGTTGCTAGGATTGTAGCGCAGTGCACCAAGAACTACGGCCACCGCCCAGCAAACGGGCAACGGTTGTTAATGTGGTTGGAACCCGTGAGAACAGCGTGGGCCCCAACGTTAGTACAACGTGCCGTGTTTGCTGGGCACTACCCCCCAATTCCGTACACCACATGCCATGCACACGCACGCGCATGCGGCAGGGCATGTGAGCGGCACACGTGCGCCCACATCTTCACAAGTGTGTGTGGTGTGCGTTTTTTGCGCATCACAGATCTGGCTGTGATTTTGTGCAAATTAATGATGGATCGCTCCTCCCACTAACGGGTTGGAAGGGATGGAGGGGTTTTGGGGAATGAGGGATGTGGGGGGCGGCGGTACGGGGTGGTGGGGGGAGGGGGGATGGAGGGGGGTGGGGCTATGATTTGCATGAAACGAGACGGCTCTGTTGGGGGGGGGGGGGGTTTCTCGCGCGGCGTTCTCCACCCGAGGCTGACACAGCGCATGCGTACCCTGCGGGAGAACTGCATTCAAAAGGAGGCGGTATACCTTCAGCGGCGGGTGGGGTGGGGGGGGAGTCGCTTCTGTCAGCCGTACCCACACCGAGGCAAGCCAGCCGACGACGACCCGGGAATCTTAAAGGTCCGATATCGCTCCTGTGCACGACCTATGAAAGCTCCTGGCACGCATCAGCATCATCATCCTCCTCCGGAGAATCCAACGTCGAGGCAGTGATACCTTAAGAACAAGCGCGCGATTCCGGCCCTTGCGACGCACATCCGAGGCCAGATTCCAGAATAAATCCCAGCAGCCTTGCGTGAACATGTCATGGGCCTGAGACGCAGTTTTGGATGAAGGACTTCATGTTGAAGCTTGCAAGGACCATTTGCCTTTCCTCTAAACAATACGCTTGATATGGGTGACGTTGAGCGATAGGTGATGGCGTTTCTATATGGGCCACAAATCCAGCTCACCCTGGTTTCTCAACAATGGATGGGCACAAGGTTCGGTACTCGTGCCAACGAAATTCAAGCAGCCAGCCACATGCTGCTAACCGGGTCACGCAAATTTGTACCTGTACTAGACTTGGATTCACCACGCCCGGCCGCCTTTGTCTCCCCAGTGGCGATGTTCACACACCACAGCAGTTACTCGTTTGAGGCTGAGTCGACCTAGGGGAGGCCCAGGACCGGTTCAAATAATAGTCACCGATGGTGACCGTGAGCGGGAATCGGAACTCGGGTCGCCCGGTTCGTAACGCGGCGCGCTAACCACTACACTACAATGCGTTACGCTTCCACGTGTGCGGGTCACGTGACAGATTTGACGTCACAGCTCACTTGCCGTGCGAAAAAAATGCATTATTGAGCTCCCCCCACCCACCCCCCCAAAAAAGTGTATTTTTACAATTTTTGCATAGTGTATTGTCTGGAAAGTACCCACATTGCAAATTTCACGTTTGTTGCATGTCGGGAAATACACTAAACATTTTGAACAGACACATAATCACAACTTTGCCTTT